GTATGGGGTCGATATTTTTGCCCACAACTCAGCATCTCTTGCCATAACTCTCGTAAAATTAAATGTTACTAAAAGATGATCAAAGGTTTTCACCTCTTTTCACACTACTAAAAGAGCTTTTGGAAGAATGGAGATTTTGGGAAAACTCACCATAATCTGTCTCTTCATTGTGAGGAAGAAAAGAATGATGAAGTACATAACAAGAATCGGCCAGAACACAGGTACGTTGAAGAATTCGAAGAATGTACATATAATCGCGATTATTGTTGCTTTCATAGCAGAATGCCTGAATAATGTTTGGGAGACTTTGATATTCTGATCGCGGTTATACTTTGTTAACTTGTTAGTCAGAAGCCAGATGTTGAAATCTATAGACATGAAACCAAACATACACTTGTTCCCAAGCATTCAGTTGTGGTCAACTTTCTCATTTTGGTGTTGAAATCTTTAAAAATACTGCTGAAGAAGCAAAATTGCATACCAGCATTTGAATTCAGGTAAACGACGCATAAATGGGCGAAATTCGTCGTTTGTTCTCGATGGCAGAACAGGCCCGTCATCGTCGTCTTCGAGAGCAGGATCAATAGATGGTGTCAAGAAGAGAAGAAGCAAATTCAAATAATAGATTCCGACAGCATATGCCACTATGTAAAAGCCCTGAAATGTTAAAACCATGAAGATCGGCCGAACTTTAATCTCACAAAAAAGGAAGCAAACAGTTATAAGTGCTACTACAATACAAGGACGGTGATGTTCGATAAAAAATTGGGCACTATTTACCCTTCACTGCCCCAACCATCCAGAATTGAGCCAGTTTTTGACCGACTTTTGTGGACAGATTTGGCTCAAATATTGTCTCCTGGAGGTAGTTGGACTTCCTAAATACGAATATTAGCCCGAAACTTCCTGACGCCCGCGCCACAGGCGCCAGTGATTTGGGGTATTTTGGCGCCAGCGCCTGTAGCGCGGGCGCCAGGAGGTTTCGGCGAGCGGATGTGATATTCGTGTTCAGGAGGTCAAACTACCCCTGAGAACAAGTTTTCAGCGAATTTGGTGATTTAGGGTATTTTGGCGCGGGCGCCAGGAGGTTTCGTGCCGAGCGGATGTGATATTCATGTTCAGGAGGTCAAACTACCCCAGGGTACAAATTTTCAGCCAATTCTGCCACGCAGAAAAAAGTCGGTCAAAAACTGGCTTGTTTTTGGAAGACTGGGGCAGTAAAGGGTAAATAGTGCCGAGAATTGAAAGCGCACAGAGCTGCCTTACGCTGGGCTCTCACACTCATTTAAAAAGGTTACTAAAGGTGTAGGAACTGTGGCTGTGATGTCATGAAGTGCGATTCAAATTCAGAAACTTATAGGCGCAAACTCGATAATATCTCGTTGTTAGGGAGGTTATATATTTCCATAAAGCCTCAGTGGCACATTCCGCGTCCAGCAGTGGTGAGTTGCGCAGCTCAAGGATAAACAACAAGTGAGGAGGAAAGCAGAACAAGACCTTCTTGAGGGCTCCTTATAGAACCTCATGCTGAATCGCGTTCGCACGCGCATAAGGCAAAGAAAGAGCGTGTTCGAGCGAGTTGCCACTTGTAGGTATCAGCTCTCTCTCTCTTTCGATTTATCATCTCCCCTCACCATTCCGAATGGTGAAAGAGTAATAGTCGACATCGCAGCATCAGAAACCTGTTGCGAAACGGGCGGCTGGGACTGCTGTTACCAGCAGGCAGCGGATTAGGACTATCTGTAAGCTGTTCGCGCTTCTTCGCTACTTTGATGCTGCAGCAGAAGTAGTACACCTTCTAAACTTGTGGGAGGAGTACCATGTCAAAAGCTACTGAACATCAAATGTGTGTGAAGCGTGTCTTTAAGGTGCTTCATAGGTGTGTGTAGTGGAACGGAAGTCCAGCAAGTTCTTCTAACAAGAGAAAAGGTGAGCTGTGTTTTGTTCATTCGTCGGAACGACTATCAAAAGCAGGACTAAATGAGTTTCTTGGTTAGCTCTTCTAGGTGCAATACATTGACTTGGTAAAACAAAGGAAATACTGAACCAACAAAAATAGATAATCGGCAATACTACATAAGGGTACATCCTGCCTCTGAGGAAAAATTCACAAAATGCGAACCTCCCCTGCACTACCCCTTCTGCCATGACATTCGCCACAAAACAGGGGTTGAAAGAGGGAGCGATAAAGGGTATATGAAGCATTTAAATTAGGAGAAATCAGGATTAGTCAACAACCAGCAAATGATCTTATTTATTGTAAGCAAATATTGAAGCCTCTCCGGCTCTAAAGAGTATAATCACGATTAGTTTCGATGGGGATCTATTAAACATAATTCGTATCCTTTGAACTACATAAAATCACAAATATTCCACTGTACATCGACAGACAAAAACCGTACTTGAGAGGTAGAGATCCTAGGGCAGAAAAGTATAAGTCGCACCACTGCCATCAACCATCGAACGGTAGTCTGCGGTGTGAGTTTATCCAAATAGTATTGGTACTTCTGCAAAATGAAAAAGTCACAAAATAGAAAGCCAAATAGGGAGCAGGGGTCAGGTGTAGCAGAGGCCCTTCCAACAGATAACGTGGGTAAGGGGAATTCTGCCGTTCGTGCGAACGTATCTCAGCCTTTCGTAAAATTATTCACTTACGCTAGAGCTCCCCATAACTCCAAAAGCTAGATAAGAACTCTATTTTGTGCTAAGCATGTATGCAACAACAAGGCCGAAAGCAGCTATATGATGCTGTGATCATAGTTCACATCGATGTTCTAAGCGTTCTGAGGGTTTTCGGTGAATAAGAAAAGTACACATCGAGTTACCGCTCTGGAAGAAACATCTCAAGGCTATGTTTCACCCCTCGAAATGATGGCGTTTCTCCAAAGTGCCAGTTTCATACCTAGACTTTTGCTCAAAACGCTTAAAACGCTGAAGAAGAATATGGACGCAGCCCAATAGGTAGTAAAGGCAACTTACAACTTCTAAGGAGTGGAAGAACCGGGAAATTACACCGGGTCTCTCTCTTAGGTCGTCATCCATGTTTGAACTGTTTCCTGAAATACGAAAGTCGTTTACCGTTGACTAGTGGAAAGGGCTTGCCAGACCCGTTACGGTTGCGACGAGAACAGCAAGTTTACTTTACAAAGGTGTAAAGCACCGACCCCTTCCTTCTTACACGATAAAAAGGGTGAAAATCCAGTTCTGGGAATCTCTAAGAGCGATAAACCTCGCAAACAGTAAAAAAGAATATGCATTTGAATGAACCCTAACAGTTCAAAAAGAACTTCGTCAACGCTACTTAGGCACAGCAGCCCTAAAGCCCATACACTGAATCATCAGCAAGAGATGGGTGTTCTGTCAAGAAACTTGCTGCTTAAATAATCGCCGTTGATTTCTGAATGCGTCAGCAAAACCCGTCAAGCCAATTGCTTCAACATAAATAGTGTAAATAGGTCTAAATACCTTGAAAGTTCAATAGTCACATCACATTCACATATAGCCCGCCTGAGAATTGAAGAATTGTGGAATTGGGAGCATCAGAGAATCCGCAAAGGGGTGTGAAAAAGTAACATTAGAGTGGAAACTGGAGGACTCGCGCTAAATCTAGAAAAAGCGGCGAAAAAATTAGATACATATAGAAAGTCTCCAGGATCACCGATTCTCCGCTGCGTCTTGAGCAATCTAGTTTGTAGGCGCTTTTTCCGATTCGCCAAGTTCGCTAATTCTTCGATCTTGAGATAGATTATACTTCGGCAGGGTACGCCATCGCTGTGATCATCACAAGGGGGGGGTCGTATTTGACCGCGAGGGAGGGGGTGGGGGTCGTATTTGGTCAGAGAAAAATTTTTTTGATAGTTGATTTCTCTTTGTTTCACGAACCTGTAAAGAGCGGTATCGGCTACTTGAGTCATTATTGGAGGTGGGGGGGGGGCGCGTCGTATTTGGTCAGTTCACGGACGCACTACTATTTCCGACATTTGAAAATGGTAGTTTAATTCTGACGACATCCTGCCCTCCCCCCGGCTCGAGGGGTCGCGTTCGAGAGGAGAGGAGAGGCTGGTGAGAGGGGTTCGTATCAAACTCCCAAAGGGAGTCCTATTTATAGTATGGAATTAGGGCGGGGTCGTAATTTTCAGAAAATGATCACGACGATGGCGTGCCCTGCTTCCACCTATTCCCTCATTCTGCTATTATTCTGCGCTTCGACAACCTCGTAGTGAAGAAACTTTCTTTTTTCCAAGAGATTATCAGAGGGCTTACTCGGAAATACTCAGCGGAATAAAATCATTTCTATGCGCTATACCACTATGTAGTAGCAAGCTGAAGAATGGACGAACAGCGGACTTAGGAACAATTAACGAATGTGCAAAAGGATTAGATACGTATCGATCCGTCGAATCGGTGGATTGACGAATCGCAGACTGGGAGAATTAACGAATGTGCCAAAATGATGTGATGCCTATAGACCTAAAGTATCGGATGGATCAAAGAATCGCGAAATTTGGAGTTGACGAATCATGGAATGAAAAGAATTGGCAAGCTGAAAGAGTGACGATTTGCGGATATAGATCTCGATACGTCACATATCTTCGCGAGTTCTTCAATTCGGAAATTCTTGCGCAAGGTATGAATACAGCCTACCACGTCATCAGCTCATGCAATGACAGCTTAGAATCAATTTTTTACGTTGGTCATCTAAGCAAACAATACGAGAATAAATGAATGTTGAATTTTCTCGACTGAATATCCTCTTGCAGGATAACAACAATAAAAAACAAGTGCCTAATTTTGGTTCGATGTAAAAATAAAGAAGAAGCTAGAAGAATAAACTGCACATTTAACCACTAAAGGAGGAGCTTGCGCGAAAATAGCGAGAAAAGATAAAACAACATGGTGAAAGCGCACTATATGAAAAAGATCGTCTATCACCCAGAGATGAACACCGTGAAATGGCCGAAATCACCGTGAGAATGGAAATGATATTGATTGACGCGAATCGACACGTCAGACCGTGACTGGACACGTTGGGACTCTGCGTGGCTGACGTGCTCCAGATGCGCCCATCGTCGTCGTCGACGTCGTCAGAAGATGAAGAAACTTGTCCCCACAGGATGCTCCTCGTGGAGGTGCGAATCCTCCCGCAGACGTCATCTAGGCAAAATGCCAAGTGGCGTCCGCTGTACGTGATACGCATTTTTGCGGACTTGTGTTTTGAAGACGTGTCACATTCCTGAAGTGCGATGGGTTTTTGTTTGTTTTTTGAGTGGAAATTGTTTAAGAACAGACTTGTCTGTGAAAAATCGTAGAGGCCTGATCTGCACCCTTCGGATTTTCCGATTAGTACTGCTTCTTATTGATGTCGCCACTTT